AAAATTAAATCTAATAATCGAATTAAGATTGAATTTATTTATTTTTTTTAAAAAAATTCAGTTGGTTTATGATACCCACAAGTCGAGTTTGTGGCCTGGCATTCATGAGCTGTCTGATAAAGACTAACAACAGCTTTTCTTTTTTTTTTTCTTTCTTTGTTTTTTTTTCAGATTTTATTTTATTTATTTCTTTTAAATTTCATGTGGGATACAGTAATATGTGGTGAGATGCCGACCACAATGTGTGTACAATCTGGCATTGTCTTCCCCGCCTAGCTCACTCTTTCCTTTCCTTGGCTTTCATTGATCAATACAAAGTCTAAGGAAAAAAAAGAGAGATTCCTTTGGCATTATTATTATAGAGATGGTAAATTAAGGTTTAGTCTAAATTTGATCTAAGTTGCACCGTGACGGGGACAGGAGTTATACGAGGACGGGTCAGAAGTACGACAAATTCTTTTCATAATTAATAAAGGACTTGAATTTGGGGATGGCCCCGAGTACCCTACGAGAGATGTTTAAGGGATGGGAAGCGCGACCTATTTGAAAAATCCGTGCAACATAGAATTTGATAAATGGGAAGTGCGGTTTGTCTAATTGTCTCTAATACCCTAAGAGTTTCTCATCGGCGTTGTTGCGATGCGAGTGTGAGAATTGCCTCCAATGTAAACTACGCTTCACGAGATTGCTATATATATATATATATATATATATATATATATATATATATATATATATATATATATATATATATAATACTCCTTCATCCCTGAAAACCCTTCTCCTTTCCTTTTTCATCCGTCCTAAAAAACATTTCTTATTTTTATTAAAAAGTTACTTTTACCCTTTACTTTTTCATATCTTACCCATCAAATTATACCTTTTTACTAACAATCTACCTATCAAATCTTACTTTTACCAATCACGTCAAAGATTTTTTTTGAAAATTCAATACCAAAATACGCTTCTTCTAAATCTATTAAAAATCAATAGCTCTCATGTTTTTAGAATGGGAGGGAGTATATATATATATAGTGTGTGTGTGTGTGTGTAAGTGTGTAATGGTGATATTTTTATAGTGCTAATAAGAGACAAGGGTGAATTATTTTTAGAGGAATTTACTTAAATAGCACTTAAACATAATGACTTCCTCTAAATAGCACCACATGTGTTTTTCTTCCCAATGTAGCATTTTTAGTCATTATGCATTAGTCATTATTGAAATAAATATTTGTTATCACTGGTCATTATAGACATTATTAAGTGCTATTTAGGGAATAAAACAATTTAAGTGCTATTTAGGGAAATGACTTAAGTTTTAGTGCTATTTAGTGCAAATATTTCTTATTTTTAAATACAGATTAGCTATAGCAACCTAACCAAGTTATTAAATATGCACTTCAATTCAAACATTGCTGCTAGCAGATATATTGAACAAAAACCTAACCATCATTTTAATAGTCTTTGTTTACTAGTATATGCTCCTCAACTGGCCACTCTTTTTCTCTCCAAAATGACTTGTAATCAGCAGCTCGGAGTTTTTCTTTTTTATTTTTAAAATTTATTTCTCTCAAAAGGCAATTTTAACCATTTTATTGGATTGCTATACTTAAAAACTGGTTATGCATTTGATTTCATAAAAAGTCATGTTTTTAATATATTTTTTTTGTTCCAAAAAATTGTTCAATCACATATATAAATGTCATGTTTACTATACTCTCAAATTTGTTACGGAGTATTTTTGAACTCAAATTCTCTCTTATAATGAAATGAGATCATTTGGTATTTAACTTTAACATTTCGAAAAGAGTAATGCTTACCTAATAACAACATTTACTCGGAAAACACGATCTTTTATGGGATACCATGGCCCAAAAAGGAGGTATATATATAAATGTATGTATTTACTCTCTACCCCAAAGTTTGTGTCTATTTTTAAGTTTTTACACTCAACCAAAATTAACTTTTGACTTCTAATTAAGAAAATATAGTGCCGAGTATATTACTTAGATAAAATAATATTTTAAAAATAAATCTAAGAAACTTATTTTATGAAATTTATATAGTAAAATATCTTTAAAATATTAATTTATCTAATTAATATATACCATAATTTTTATTTAATTACATGTCAATCGTTTTGGGTTGATCAAAATTAATTTATAAAAAGTCAAAAATAGATAACCACTTGGAAACAAAATAAGTATATACTCCGTATGTATCTATGCAAGAACTTTATGCAAGAACTTGAAGAAGATGGTGAGTAGTGATGAATAGTGATATTGTGATAATATGAAAATTAAGTTTGAATGGCTTTTTAAACATCTTTTTCAACCTAAGTCATCCTTAATTTCCGTAAAATAGAGTGAAAAACTTACAGAAATACAATAATAAATAATAATGGTATACAAATGCATATATATAAAAGTCCCGTTATTGGTGGTGCGGAATGCACGTGACTTTGTTGAGTTTGTTATGATAAAAGTCCCGTTATTAGGGGGTTTCAAGGTGGCAGGGGTTCGAGGGCAGCGCCCCCGAGTAGGGTTCAAGAGGTGGCAGCCATTGCAGGGTCCAAGGGGTAGAGCCCCCGACTGGGATCGAATTTGAATTTTTAATTTTTGAATTTTTCTTAAAAGAAAATTTTTGGAAAAGACATAGCCCGTTTCTTCAAATTCACGCGAGGAGACGCATGTTATAGATGGGAGACGCGAACACAACCTTTCTTTCCTTTGGCGGCTCTATAAATCCCACCGATCCTTGATCGCAAAAGTACATTTCGGAAATTCATATCAATCCATACTTGTTATTGTCAAATTTGAGTTTTATTCGATTGATTTTTGGATTGAACAACTAAATTAATCAATCTGAAAGTATTGCACGACTCTCAAATCGATACACGTTATTTTCGTTTTCCCCAACAATATATAAATGCCCCACACAACTAATTAGTATTAGAAGTCATAAAATAACTAATGGTCTAATCCATTAAACCCTTTTGGTAAGGAACTGGTCACATGCATACCGAGAGGATATGATATACGGATTGGAGTAGTATTTAATATCTCTCCGGTCAAAACATGAGAGTTAGCTATTTTTAAGAAATTTTAAAAGAAGTGTATTTTGGTATTGAATTTTCAAAAAATTCTTTTGATGTGATAGATAAAAGTAAGATTTGATATGTAGAAATTAATAAGAAAGAAAATACCGGAGTAGTTCGTATATTGAATTGACTTTTGAATACAAAGGTCTAACCCTCTTTATATAGGAAGAGAGTAAAGCATATAAGTAAACTTTTGTTCCTACCATATTTCTATTCCTACTATAACAAGAACTAAGCAAACTAGGAAAGATACTAAACTAAATTCCAAAAGGATTCAGTTTCCTTCTTTGATCCGGCTTCCTTCTTCTGTCGCCAACACCCCACTCAAGCTGGAGCATGGGAGTCCAACATGCCCAGCTTGGACATCAAAAGATTGAACAAAGCAACAAAGCTTGAAGAAGCCGCTGCCATCGTTGTCCAAGTGTCATCTAGACACTTCAGTTTTTTTCCTTCAACGAAGACGCCAAGCTTTTCGAATCCGCTGAATAATCAGTCGAGTAAAGGAACACCATTCTTTTCGAACCTTCACCGAATTCGAACAAACAGGGAGAATGCCATTCTTTTCGAACACCCTGAACGCCGACTTTTTTTATTGCCTGCAAAGGAAAGAGTTGTCTGTTTCTATAGAACAACCCTTCTCGAACAACTTCTTCAAGATTGACGGTTGGGCTGGATACCTCGACAACAATGTTCTTTGTTGAAGGAGTTCATGATATTTTTTTAGTGAGGGAGAACAATCAAAGAAAATCAAAAATTACAATATCCCACCAATAGGCATTGAATTGTGTATGCCCACCGGCATGGTAAGAAACGTGTTTGAGGTCTCAAGAATTTAAAACTTGCTCCGATACCATGTAGAAATTAATAAGAGAGAAAATAGTTCGTATATTGAATTGGCTTTTGAATACAAAGGTCTAACCCTCTTTATATAGGAAGAGAGTAAAGCATATAAGTAAACTTTTATTCTTACCATATTTCTATTCCTACTATAACAAGAACCAAGCAAACTAGGAAAGATACTAAACCGAATCCCAAGGGGATTCACTTTCCTTCTTTGATCCGGCTTCCTTCTTCTATCGCCAACATGATAAGTAGATTATTAGTAAAAAGATATGATGTGATAGGTAGGGTATGAAAAAGTAAGAGGTAAAAGTGACTTTTTAATAGAAATAAGAAGTGTTTTTTGACACAGATGAAAAAAAAGGAGAAAAGTTTTCAGGGAGAGAGAGAGTACTAGAATTCATACCAATCATTAAGGCTAATCAGGTACCGAATCAAACCCAAAAATTCCTGAAAACCCCAAAAAGACTAAATTTGAAAATTATTGAATTGTACCGAATCGAATGATCGGTTCGGTATTTGGGAGTGATTGAGGTAATTTCTCATACCAAAATTCTCGAATCAAACATATATACTACTAATATTACAAATATAATATTCTTTTGATTTCATATTTCTTCGTTAAGAAATAAGTTTATTTAAAAATTAGGTTCAAATTTTATTATGTGCACACTAGACCTGTACAAACACGGATATTCACCCATATATCTGAGTCTACCTTCATAATTTGGGCCAAAAATCATGCCCAATACGCATCCACTCAAATTTTATTTTGTTAGATTTAAAATTAAACTCCGTAGTTAAAACAATATAATTAACACTGGGCTCCATTATGGGGCGTTTAATGCCCACCTGGCATTAAACACCACCCTCTTTATTGTTAAATGGGCGTCACTTCGCTGCGTTAAACGTTTAACGCGGAGGAAGGTGAAGGAAAGAGCCGTGGAGGCCCAAGTGGCTATAATGTAGTTGGACAACATTAATTTTTTTATTTTTAATAATATAAATACCCCTTATTCTTAACACAACAAACACACACAACCTATTCGCATTCTCTCCATACCTCCTCCAAAATTTATTTTATTTTTTAATTTTCTTAACAAAATATTCAAAAAAATGGATTCATCTTCATCTGGAGATGAAAAGAAAGCTCTCATTTTTCGTTGTTTTGCAACAGGTTGTTATCAGTGGTGGCAACAAGCCCAATGAGAAGAAGAAGAATTCTCCCAACGCCGACACTCGACCCGACGTGAGGGTTTAAACCGTGATCGGGCAGTTGCACATGCTTTGTTACTCAACGACTACTTCAATAATTCGTGCGTTTACACACCAGAGTATTTTAGAAATCATTTTCAGATTTATGACGATTAGATTAATGAGACTACACCAGACTTGTCTTTCGAGCTTAGAGAGACAATTTACAAGCATCGATATTATCTTGCAGATGGAATATATCCAGATTATTCCACGATTGTAAAGTCCCTCTATGAACCAATGTGTCTTAAATGCCAGACCTACAAAAAAGCTCATGACGCGACGAGAAAATATATCAAATGAGCCTTCAGGTTGTTAAAGGGTAAGTGACACATTCTAAATCGTCTGTCCAAGTGTTATTCTCATACGAAAATGAGGAATATCATGTACGCGTGTATTATTTTTCATAATATGATCATAAAAATAACGGGTTTGCAATTTGCCATTACAACCCGGACGAGGAAGTGCCTACGCACAAAGAAATCGATGAAGAAAATAAACGAAGAAACCGCCAAAAAATTCGAAGAGACTCACAATGCATTAACGACGGATTTGATTGAAGATATTTTAAGTCGTATGAATAATCAGTAACTTCTTCTTAATGTAATGTAATTCTTATTTTTTATTAATGTACCTTTTATTAAATGTATTTTTTAAATGTACTTTATTATTTAATGTACTTTTTATTGAATGTATTTTTTTATTTAATGAATTATTTTTCTTTAAATTCAATTAAATAATAAATATTATTAATTTAATTTTTGAATATGAGTATTTAAAAATGTAAAAAATAGAAGTTTGAAGCCCCAGGGCTTCAAACTCATTTCCATTAAAATTTTGGTGTAAGTTCAAGCTGATGTGGTAGAGAGAAAAAGTTTGAGGTCCCAAACTTCATACGGATTACCAGTGCTCTCACCCCGAGCCCAATGCTCGAGGCCACAGCTGATGCGAATCGTGTTGCGCCGACCCGCGATAGTGCGTTTATGTTTTTATTCTATAACCCACAAAATACATTTTAATAAACTTATAAGAGAGAATATTAATAAACTTATAATTTTTAGTAAATATGAGTAAATAAACTCCCTCTCTCCCAAAAGAAAGCTCTCAATTTGACATAGACACAAAATTTAAGAAAAATGGAAATGTGTGATGGAGGTGTTACAAATAAGAGAGATATTGTGAGGCACTCAAACCTTTTTATAAAAGGAAAGAGGTGACTTTTTTGGGACATAGCAAAATAGAAGCATAGTCTTTTTTAAGACAGAGAGAGTATGAGTGAAAAGTTCATCCACTTGGTCTGTCAATGGGTCAAGTTTAATTATTATTTTGTCATTCATACATTAATCAATTTCGGCATATAATAATATACTCTATATCAATCTGTGGTCGTTAATGGACTTTATTGATAATTAATCCCGAAAATGATTGTTCATATGTTTATTTAAGAAAAAACCAACATGAACCAAGTATTCTTATTCTATATAAAACAATGTGACATTTTTGGGACAAACAAAAAATGAAGAGGGGATAGACACTACTCCCTCCGTCCCCCAGTTTTTGTCCACTTTTGACTTTTGGAACTGTTCATCTAAGCACTTTGACTCATCAAATTCTCTCAATGTGTAAGCCTAAATATAGTCATGTGTGATCTTGTTTGATTTGTCTTAACATATAGATTATTAATATATAATTTCTATAATTTTTTAATATACAAATTACAAGATAAAATGGATTAAAGAAGTGCTTGGATGATGTGTAAAAATNAAATGAAGAGGGGATAGACACTACTCCCTCCGTCCCCCAGTTTTTGTCCACTTTTGACTTTTGGAACTGTTCATCTAAGCACTTTGACTCATCAAATTCTCTCAATGTGTAAGCCTAAATATAGTCATGTGTGATCTTGTTTGATTTGTCTTAACATATAGATTATTAATATATAATTTCTATAATTTTTTAATATACAAATTACAAGATAAAATGGATTAAAGAAGTGCTTGGATGATGTGTAAAAATGAAAGTGGACAAATACTCTGGGACGGAGGGAGTACGAGGCAAATGAAATATAAAACTAAAGAAAATTTATATGTCAACATTTAAATGAATATTAACAAATACGTGTATAAATCATATTTACATACTGCGAAGTACATACTTTTTTAAAAAAAAACTATTCTCTTATCGAATCATAGTGTCAAAATATAAAGTATCATGAATACATGCTAGAGGGATAAACACTCACTTCAAAAACTTTGACATAGAAACTAACATCCTAACCAATAAATGAGCAATCTAATTTGCCAACTTCCTAATACTCAACCAAGAGAGTTAAGAAGACTCTTACATTAAAACCCAACAATCTGATAGTTGTATTTATTTAACTTTTGATGCATCAAAAAAGTCACAATGGTAATTGATGTGAATGGAGGGAATTGAGTTAATTGACTCCAAAATCCAAACTCTAATGTATTTGTATCTAATTGACCTCCTCTTTAACTAGATTTCTTTAGGCTTGAAACAAAATTTGAAAAGTATAAAAACATTAAACCATCATATACCATGTCCACCTCTATACTAGATGAAATTAAAAGGATAAAAGTGCTAGGGAAACTCCAATTGGGATACACTAAATGTACATCAATGCAAAAATAGGAACACAAAGACACCCAACATCTGTGCGTGCACAAATATTTAGTCTCTGTGTGTACCTATTTTTAGTGTACATTTGGTGTACTCCAAGTGAGATTTTTCCCAACATTTTTTTCTAATAGGATGGATGTTCATGTGTGACCAAAGTGAGTCCAACTGCAAGCAACACAGACCCGGTCGTTAGTAGTAAACGACAAAAGACATAACATGTGCGCCAACTCCATGAGACAATAATCAAATGGGTAACAACCGAAGATTCATAGGATCATATCCTTAGTCAAAATACAAACCACACCTATCCCATCTCACCTAATCATTTTCACTAATAAAACCAATTTCCAATTCCAAGAATGCACTCATTTTTGCTTTTAGAATTTGATTTTTTGATTTAACTAAATTTACCATAACCTTCCTAGGAGAGTTTTTAAAATAAGAGAACATTAGTTATGAAGAAATTTAGATCATGCTATTCAAATAAAACCTCTTTTTTCAAGACACAATTTTTCAAACATGATTTTTTCTTACAGAAAAAAAAGTTTGTAGTTGGTCTAGGTCAGGTAATGATCCTAAAGAAATCTAGTTAAATAGGACTAAACATAGAACTAAATAGTACTAAAATATATGTCATTTCTCAATCTAGTACCTAAACTTTTTTATTCCCTAAATAATACTTGAATAATGTCTAGTGACAGAAACAATATCCAATGATGGTGAATATTTATTTTGAATAATGTCCAATGGCGGTAGGCATTTACTTGAACAATGACCACTGGACAGTGATCAATGGTACTACATTAGGAAATAAAAACATATAATAGTACATTGGGAAAATCATTATATTTTAATACTTTTTAAGTAAATTCCCCATTATGCTATAATGCTTAATTCACTATGCACATTTGGGTCAACTCTGCATTCTCCAATACACCCATAAAATATACATATACACCAAGTCTTACAAGATGGTAGCCCATTCAAACACCTCCAAACCTCACCATCCACACAAAGTAATGGGGAGTGTCATTTTAAAGGCAATCCACACATTAGTCTAGAAAAAATGATAAAATTAGTAGAAAGCTAATTTACAGGGAAAGAAATGCTGCAATGTTTTTGAAGCAGCCTTTTCTGTTTCAATTTGAGGAAAAACAAGTGAAGATAACTTAACCTAACAAGTAGGAGAACATAAAGACTTTCATCCCACTCTTTTTCCTTCACTACTATACATATACATGCATACATACGTACATACATACATACATACATACACATTCATACATATAGGGATGGACTCTAATGCGACGATATTTTGGTGAAATTAGTAGAACGAAACCACACGAGCCATCCATTTCATAAGGTGACAATATTACAAAAATGTCACCTTACATTTGATTGATTCACGTGATTTCATCCCACTCATCCCACATAAATATTATCATCACATGCGAGTTAATCCTATATATACAAAGTGTGTATCTGTGCATGCATATATATACACACACACATACATATATGTATATATACACACACACGCATGCATCCACCTCATAGGGTAAGGTCTGCGTGCACACTCCCTCTCCACCCTACTGGATTTGTTGTATAAAATCACACCCCATAAAGTCCAAAGAACGAAAGAGGTGACTAAAGCTTGATAGTAGAGGGAGAGGCAGAAGCAGAACGAATCAAAGAGATGGAAGGAGAATTTCGGGTTCTCTGTCTTCTACTACTACTACTTGTAGCTGACCTTGTAGGACGAGGTGTGGCGTTGCTTGTATTGGCAGAAGTACTTACAAACCTACTTGAATGGCTTCTTAACTTCTTCTTGTCACCAACTCTGTCTTCGGCCTTTATTTGTCGAACTTTGGTCTCGTTCAGGCCAGCTGGGAGGACGCAATTGCAAAGAAAACCTTCAAAGTAATACAGAAAAACCATTACTACCTCCCAATATCCAACACAGAAAACTATCATATTGAACAAGTATTACAATCTAAAAAGAATTAAAGACTCTTACAAAGGTTTATGTCGTGAAAAAACGATACTTGAATAAGAGTCAAAGGATGGGAAATCTATCACCCCGAGCACTCAGGCCAACAGGGTTGTGGAAGGGTAAATCATGGTGACTGAGCAAATCCATAGATCGGAAGACCAGTGTCCTGCGCTGAAAAGGAGTCCACCAAATTGGGTGTAACTCCCACACACCGGCAGTGTCTACACTATACACTGAGCTGCCGATGTTGACATAAGAGTGCTAAGGAGATTGGGGTAAGGCAGGCAATCCTGGATTCCTGGCATGTAAGCTTTAGTCCACTACTAAATTCCATTAGAATTTCACATTAATTGTGAACATTTTCCAATGTTAGTCCTCTATGTTATTAAATCCCAACTAAGGTCCTTAAATTTTTGAAATATTGCTACATGAAAAGAGGACTGAAATTGGCAATGCTCACAATTGAAATGGAACTCCAATGGAATTTTATAAAGTAGTGGACTAAACGTAGAATATTCCCAAATATAGAGGACAGTTTGTGGAAATTCTAGCTCTGTCCCGTCATAATTCAAAAAAGCCAATGATATATAATTAGCCTATAGTAAAGTGATATTGGTTCCGTACTGCAGTTCAAAATAGTGGGGATTAATCTAGAGATTAAGGTGAAACGTATACGGAGTATGTATCTTATCCGTGATTTCAGACAATATTTCCCAGTTGGGCTATTAAAATAGGAAAGCATGGGATATAATAATGCCATAATACAGAAAGCATCATAAGCAATGTGTAAACAATAAGGAGCAGTGAAAGAAAAGGCCTTGAATTTAACAGCCCGTATTATTCTTTACCCCCAAATGGACTACAAAATAAAGTAAAATAAAAAGTACTGCACAAAAGCAATGGCAAAGGTCAAAAAGGTAGCTAAAGAAAAGCAAAGCTTAGGTAAAAGGAAAAGGAACTTAAAGCGAAAGCAAGTGTCTTTAACCATTTGGCCATTTCCATCTTTATTTATGGTAAATTCTTCCATTACCGTTTACAGTTTACTATCTAGCTATACTAACCATTTGCCACCCCATCCAAAATCTGAAATCTCCGTACTAACAGGATATATAGAGAAAATTATATTTGTTCTAAATAGTTACTCCCTTCATGCCAAAATAAAGTTTTCATGTCGGTGTAAAATGTTTGATTGAAGTTATTATCAATTCAATTTATTTGAAAGTTGGATTAGAATAAAAGGATTACATATTTAAAAACTATATTAAAATTTCTACAATACAAAACGTGACATGAATATAATTTTATAAAATGAGGAATGGAAATAGACCAAGAGAGTGAATAAAGTTTAATCATGTAAATAATAAATAATTTTTGACCATGTAAGGGAACTTTGAGAAATATTGGGAAATATTGTCTGAAATCACGGATAAGATACATACTCCGTATACGT